AAAACGAGTTTTTAGATGCAACACATGCAGCATAAAATGTGAAAATTGCTCATCTAGTGGGAAATGAAAGAAGGAAGAAAATTTCGTAATTGCTGCATTTAATATTTTTTTTATTTCAATCTTGTGAAGCCGGCAACACTTGTATTTCCTCTAGAAAGTTCTTTTTACTATCTTCAATTCATTACAACTGGATTTTTGCACTTATTTGCACTTTATCTTCCTAACTGTTTCTCACATTTTCATTCAAGTTCATGGAAATTATGAACTTTTTTAATTTCAATTTTTTATTCCATTTTATTGTGGTTAAATTAATTGAGAAACTTTTTCTTTTTTCTCTCGCTCGCTTCTTTTAAATGAATGAATTTTTAATTACACTTAAATGAGGGTTCACTATTTGGATCTGAAATTTACTTTTTTAATAAATTGCTATGCAAAGTTTCCTTTTAATGAAATATTTGCTCAATGTTAAGCTTGAGCATTTTAATCCATACAAACGAAGTAATCAACAAAATTACAAATTAAGTTTTGTGTTAAATTGTGCAAGAACGCTAATCATGTGTTTTTAATAAAAGGTCACGTTAAATTTTTATTTAATTGAAATCTAATAAATTATATTATAAATTTGACTCTCCAACATTTGTTTGCCAAATCTACGCATGAATTATACTAAAGATAAACGTGATATTTGCGATATTTATCACAATTCGATCGAAGAAGAAGCTCTAAAAGAAATATTTACATGAAGTGTCTATAATTAAAGTTTATAGACCGAGGCATCAACTCCAAAATAATTTTATTTTTCACCATGAGTTATTGACTGCTGTTTTAATCCAATCGAGGGAATGATAAACATACAATATAGTATGCATATGCTAAAGGACACTAATAATTAACATTGAATTTTCGCACAATAATTCTTATTCTCAGTGTCAGACCTCTCCTGAATATATTTTTTTTTTGTACATCTCCTCTGTAAAAACATTACTAGTAGTAAGCAAGTAGAAAATCTTTTGTTTCTTTTTCAAATTTTCTAATCATCGATGATTTCATTGCTATTTTTAAAATTTTGCCGATGTGGGCTGATTTTTATAAATTTTCTACAATCAATTTTTTGGGGTTTTCGGTTTTGTTTTGTGTGGTTAGATATTTTAAGTTTTAAATATCCGTTAAAAGATTATAAATGACTTTTTGTATTCAATTTGAATTCAATTCAAATTTGTACATGCTTAAGTTTAAATGTCCATAAATAAGAAATTTAATTTTAAAAAAATCTGTATTCAATTTTACAATAATATCTTCGATTCACCTTCATTTTTTTCTATGATATAATATTTTTCACTTTTTCTTTAATGAATTTTCGCGCACTCGCCTTTGTATATCTCATATGTGTGGTGTTGTGTTCTATTTTTGGAATGTATGATAAAAAAATTAATTCTTTTTATTTTTGTTTAATTGCTTTTTGTTGTTTTTAGCAGTTTTCTTTTAAAAATAAAATACACATTCAACAGAGCTAAATACACACTCACGCATCTGAAGATGTAGTAGATTCTGTCTTATTTTAAATTTATTTAATATCCGTACATTTCTCACAGAAAATATGCAGTTTTAAATATTTTAAGGCATCTAGTATAAAATAAATTTTATTTATTATTTCGTTAATGTTCAGGCTCGTTTTGACAACCATGCTCAAGAAATCAGATATTTGCAGTGAATTATTTGATTAAAATTTGTCTTACGGCTGTACACTGCAAAATTGATATATCTTAACATAAAATTATTGAATTGCTGTGCGATTGAAAGTTTTATCACTTTAGTAACTGAGCTTCTTGATAACGAAGTAAACTAATTAATTTCGTTGTTATTATCATTATATTTGAAATGTTACATCCTACGGTAGTCGGCAAAAATTTTTTATATCAACTTCGCAAAATCTTTTTGGAGCTCAGGGTATTTTGGTTATGCCAATTTGATACCCTACATTATGGGATTCGTCAGTTCATGAATATTTTCTTACAATTTCACATTAACAACAATAAGTCGTAAATTTTGAGTCTAAAATTGATTCAATGTTCTCCTTCTCGAAAAATTTTTCACTTTGGCATTTGAAAAACGTGCAAAAATGAAAATTTTTTACGAAAATTAATTTTTTTTTCATTGCACAAAAGAAGGTGTAGGCGATGGAAATAAATTGCACAATTTTTTGCATTAGCTTCTTTAATAGAAGTTTATCTAAATTTGCTTTTCTAGACGAAAAAAAAAATACTTTCTAAGTGGATTTTCATGTTCTATTTTATTAAAGAATGACATTGAATTATATATAATTGTGCTGCGAGATAATGACTTAATAGATTAAGGATATCTTTATTTCCATAATTATCCAATTGGAATCAACGATATTTAATTCCATAAATAAAGCTTGAATTTTCCTAACCTTATGATAAGTAATTCAATAGTTATAACAATAAAACGCCTTCTTAAGCTGCATACAAACAGTCAATAAATTATCTTAAAACCAGAAAACGCAATAAATTTTCTCCTCAAAAGTCATGTGCCTCACCAGACTTGTGGTATTTATTAGGTAAATATGTAGGAAAAAACACACTAGAACGTAGATTTTCTAATTATCTTTGGCAGGTATGAGGAATATTTTTGCAGACTACGTTCAATTTCGTTGAAAATATAATATAATGAAAACCACACGTATTACGGCTAGAATGTAAATTTTATTTGTCAAAATTTCAATACACCATATTGGTGATGAAACCATTATTATGAAAAATATCTGGTATTGACAGCCATATCGAATTTCAAATTCTGTGTATTATTATGGAAATATTGTCACAGATTTTCCGCGAACCAATTTTTTTCTTCTGCAGAACATGGATTATTTTGAGTCTAAATTCGAGCACAGTTGTCTTGTAATTTTGATGGAGAAATGCATGCATTTTTAAAATTTTACAAAATCTATCTTTATAGAATTTTGATTTGATTCATTTCTTAGGGATTTAACTTAAAATTTATAAAGGAAATTCTGTCACATTTGCAATCTTTTTCTGCGCGTCACAATTGATCTTCCAGATGGTTTCATAGTTACATATGTACGAAAAAAATTTCGTTATAAAACCATCTGCAGGAAGCAATTATTACCTGATATTTAATTTTATAAACGAAAAGAAACAGCAAGTTGTATAAACTTTTCATTTTCCATACTTATAAATAGAATCAGGTGTAGGTAAATGGTTTTGTGCATGAAGATTAAACTATCAGCATTTAATATCATCATATTAATTCGAATAAATGTTTGGATACAAGTCAGAGAAACCCAGAGTGTGTTTTAAAAATTCATTTTGTTGAACCGGAGTTTAATAGTTTGTAATTAGGATTGAGGTCATTGTGAATCGCCAGAAAAATTAAAACTGTAAAATTACTACTTGTTACTTGAATCCTTGATAATAATCCGAAAATTCTCAATCATTTCATGACATAAAAAGATGTTTTCACATTTGAATAATCACTGTGCAAGAGATTCATAATGTTAACAATTTTCTCATATGTTTAGCTTGCGAAATGTTGGCTTAAAAACTTCACATTCTTTCCATCTCATCAATCAAGATTTTCTTGCAATATTTTCACATTTTCGATATATCTTTCAAAAAAAAGGAGAGAAAGAATTTCATGCACTGACGTGGAAGTGAGGGCTTTAAATTCACAAATTTATTCAGATCACTAAGCATCACACAACCACATAAAAGGAGAAATGAATTATCTTCAAATATCGATCAATTTTCCTCTTTATTTCATACAAGGAATTTTCATCACTTTTTGATTAAAATGTTCACATCTTTTGATACCTTTCAATGCCATTTATTTATGCCTTATGCCACAAAGTCTCAAAAAATGAATAATGAAAGAAAAACAAATAAAAAATGGAAAAAAAAATTTTTCATTGCCTTTTTGAGAAAGAAAAAAATTGAAATAAAAAAAAAATTTTCTTTTCCGTGTCACGAGCAAAAGTATTACGTTCTTCACCAGACTTTCGATCCCGAGTGAGCAGATTTTTTCACTAAAAGATCTTTTTCTCAGCCGGCAAAATTATGAGGAACGAAAAAAAAAGATTTAAAATAAACGCTCACATGTGTGAATGCTAATTGAGAGTTTTTCCCGTAAATTCAACTACTTTTTCCCAACGTCTTCTTAAATACAAATTGACTGACTTTTTCCATTCTCGCACACAGATATAAAGATGTAAGGAAACTCTCATCATCATCATATGCATGCCAGACATATATTCACTTCTCAATATTCGTTCGACTTTCAAAACATTGTGGTAGCTTATTTAAATATTCTTATAGAAAAAATATAAAAAAAAAACTGAGATGAGGATGAAGAAGAAGGAAATTTCTCGTTCTCTCAAATTTTTCTCCATTCAAGCGACTGTGAAATATATTAACACGTGGTTCATTATGGAGAAAAATGTGTGTCATTATGAAATTTTTTCCTTCTATTTCCTCTTCCATTAACCTCATGTGTGCATTCACTCAATTTTCATCTATTCTCGTAAAGAAGTTATCTGAGATGATGTTTAAGGAATGAGCAATTTTACAAATGCGCATTTCTTCTTTTTTACAAAAAAAAAATATTAATATTTGAAATGTGTAGCGCTCGTTAAAAATTAATTCATCAACTGCTGATCTCTAGCTTGAAAAAGAAAGTAATCAGTAAATAAAACTGAAAATATAATCTTGCATTTCCCAAAACTTTTTCATCATTATGTCTTCTCCTTACATCCTTTAAACTGCGTGTGTGTTTTTGTCATGGTGGTTGGATAGAGTAATACGATCGTGCCGAAAAAAATAGGAATATGAAATGAAATTTTTCTCTCGTCTTAGAAAGATGAGAATCTCATATGAATATTCATGAGACGACAAAGTTGAAGAGCTTTAATCTGAATGTTATTATCTGTAAATTACCAACAGCTTTAAGGAATTAATAAGGAACAGTGAATTTCAATATTTATTTTTTCCAAGAAATCTTCGATATCTTTAATAAATCTCAAAATAAAATAATAACGTCAACATAAAACCCGCATGAGCAGCAGCTCCTTTAGTTAATTTAAAAATCTGTACAAAAACCAGGGATGATAAAATTTAATTCAAATATTTTTCCTATGAACACCATCAAAATCGTAAATTGTTCAATTCATTTTTATCTGGAGTTCATCCTCTTCATTCGTCTTTCCATTTTCTTTTGCTTCTTTTCATTAACTTGTGGATTATCGACATCTTCTTTTGATGACAACCAAGGCTTAATAACTGAGCCCCAAAGCATGTAAATCGCTCGAACTGGTCCGAGAAGGAGAAGCATCCAAAACCAATTTGATAACAATGCGAGAATCTGTGTGCCTGATGTAAGAATTATGATATCCTTCACGTGTCTGTTTGATAGTTGCAAAAATTAGTTTACACAAATTTTCAGTATATGATACCCTTAGAAATATTCAATGTAAAACTTTTGAGATTTCTTCTACTTACTCAGCAATTCCTCCTTCCATATTTAAATCTGTGCCAGAATCAATAATCGAACCATTTTCAGATAGTTGTGGACGACTTATCATTTTCATAAATTGATATGCTCCTAAATGAATGCCAAATGAAATTATTGTCATAGTAATAAGAGTTCCAGTTAATGTCTTGAGAAGAAGAGTGATGAGCAGGAAAGCTGAACATGCAACAAGAGACATATTTCGATAAAATTTTAGTGTCGTTACATTTTCCTCCACAATTTGTTTCGTCCCACGAGTTCCAACCTTTCCTTTTTTCTCGCCCTGTCAAAAGATATATCGGAAATTAAGTTTCTGGTGGTCCTCGATTTGAATAGTCAAAATTTAATGAATAAAATTTTTTATTTTTTATTGTAGCAGATATTTCTTATCAAAAACGTAAATAATTCAATTTTAATATGATTTTTCTGGAACAAAACATTAATTAAATCGAGAATCCTTCAGTAATTATTCATCGTGCAAGGAAAATTGGATCTTAAATATTTAATCGCTTTTCGAATCAGATTTTCACTTAATTTGTACGTAAATAAATAAGTTCATTAGTTACATAAAGACACAATATGACATTAAAAGACTTACAGCCATTTCTCTTTGATAAATTTAGCAAAATAAAATTTTATGATATTTCACTCTGAAAAATGTAAATAAAAGTTCCAACGAAGCATGTGTTTTACAAAAACGTGTTAAACTTTACACGAGTTTGACGGATTATAACGAAACATACCCGTACTTGTACCAATATTCCATTGGATTGAATCAAGCAGTATCAAGTTAAAAAGTCATTTAAAGGGCTTTACATATTTAAATGATTTTAAACTGCTAACTTAAGTAATAGCTTGTTTGATGCTAATATCTTGAAAACAAATTTGTAATGAAAGTTTCTTTTTTCAATATTTTCATTTAGGGGCTACTTATTACGTAACGCAAAAAAACGACTTTTTTCACCCCCCCCCCCCCCTGAATGTTCATAATTTATTTTATTTTGATAAAAAAGGTGGAAAATTTAAAAAAATGTTAGAACGTGACAGTATGACAGTTAGAATGTTTCATACTTCTTGACACCCCCCCCCCCCCTATGTTACATTTTGTTACAATTTTTCAAACCCCCCCTCCCCCCTAAAATGCGAACGTAATAAGTGAACGGCCCCTTACACATACACGACATACCCATATTAAACAGACAAAGTGCATGATTAGACTGTCGTTTTGAAAGCAAGTTTTTAAAACTCGCTAAAAAATTATATTTTGGAATATTTTGAAGAGAATAAAGGAAAAAAGTGATATTTTTGAGATATTTCTGCTTTTGTCTACTACTCTTATTTAAAAATATTACCATTTATTAATTGTATTATAATGATGAATTAAATTATTACATTTGTGAGCCATCGCAATTCTAATAAAAGGCGTAGCCGTGTAAATAAGTGCGACTATTCAACAAAAATTCCCTGATATTCAAGGTTTCTTTGTAAACATTTCTTCATAATAATAATGATTTAATGTTTTCAATGACTTGATTACGTGAGTCTGATTAAGTGAATCTCTATTAGTGAATGTTTTATCTTTAATAATGGCTACGAATATTCCTGACCCGAATGATACACAGTGGCTACTGGATCTTTTAACTGAATGTCAATTAGAATCATTTTATACTCAAATTAAGGATGAATTACAGATTACAAGACTAGCTCATTTTGATTATGTCCATTCCGATGATTTAGCCAAGATTGGGTTGTCTAAACCTCGTATTAGACAGCTCGTGGACCATGTGAAGAAGAAGAGAGCACAACAATGGCGTAAGAATATATTGTCAAAGCTTATAGGAGGCGGAAAGCAAATAAATCACCAGACAAGTAGTAAAAAATCATCTGCAGAATCAGCTGAAACTGTGACAAAAAATACGTCATCCCAAGCACTTACTTGCCTCATTCACGAAAAAGATATAACATTATCAATAAAATTAGGAGATGGATCATTTGGTGTAGTCAAACGTGGCGAATGGAATAGTTTAAATGGAATTATACCTGTTGCTGTTAAAGTATTAAAGGCTGATACATTATCGCCGCATGTTTTTGAGGAATTTTTTAAGGAAGTTCAAGCAATGCATACACTTGATCATCCAAATCTAATTCGTTTGTTTGGAGTAGTATTATCACAACCTATGATGATGGTTACAGAACTGGCTGAAAGTGGCTCCCTTTTAGACTTTCTAAGAAAGCAATGTAAATGTATTTCACTTTCATTAATATGGAATTTTACAGTCCAAATTGCTACTGGAATGGCTTACCTTGAATCCAAACGATTTCTACACCGAGACTTGGCATGTAGAAATGTTCTCATTGCCAAAGGAAACAAGATTAAAATTGCTGATTTTGGCTTAATGCGTGCGCTTCCTCAACAAGATGAGGTTTATGTGATGACTGAGCCCAAAAAAGTTCCATTTCCATGGTAAATTTCAATAATATTCTCATCTCTTTCGTGACTTCTTTTTTCACGGTTTATAAATATTTTATTACATTAGGTGTGCGCCAGAGTCATTAAGATATCGTCAATTTAGTCATGCTAGTGATACTTGGATGTTTGCCGTAACAATTTGGGAATGTTATACATTTGGAGAAGATCCTTGGATAGGGCTTAATGGCTCTCAAATCCTGAAGAAAATTGACAGGGAAGGAGAGAGACTTCATCATCCTGATGCATGTCCTCCTGATGTGTATCAGTTGATGCTTCAATGCTGGGACAAAACACCCACTGAACGACCCACATTTGCAGCCATTAAGTAAGAACTCAATTACAATTTCTTTTTAGAACTTTATCATTCAGGTCACACAGTTTGAGATCAATTTTCTAATTTCTCTTTTTTCTCAATTATGATAAAGATTGGCACTAAAATGCTCTTTAAACATCTTCGATTAGAGCAGAACGAAATTGCCTGCTCGATTTAATTTGATTTGATCCATTTTTCTTTCATATCCTATTTTTTTCTCATTTTTCGTACAAATAGAGAATTTCTTGTTGGACAAGCACCACAGCTTGTGAAAGCAACAAGCACTTATTGTGTTGAAGGACGTTTGAAAATTGAGCAAAATGATACCATCGCTATTATTGATGGCAGACCCGAGCTCAAATTTCTTAAAGGTCAAAATCAACGCACCTTTGAGATTGGAACTTTTCCACGCAATATACTTGAAGTGCTTCGTTTCAATCGTCACGGCACATTAAATACCATAAGCAGACCTGTTCATGGGACATTACAACACGTGGCACATGGATCTACAATTGGCCAATGCTGGGGCTCGCCATCATTTATTGATTCAACGTATAATGGTACTGTTCAGATGAGACAAAAATCTGCAGATCAGGTAAGTAAAAATAGTCGTCAGCAAAAAGCGGTTTCGGAACATTTTGCAAAGGAGAAGAAAACAACTGCAAACAAGCAATTTTCATATAATAAATTGGTGAACGAACAACGTATGCAAAATGAACAACAAGCGATGCAAAATACAATAACAAATCGTCCGAAGCCAGCTCGTCCACCTGCTCCTCACATACAACAAACCGAAGGAATTTTAATTGATTTATCACCGGAGGAAATTCGTTCAATGAATATAAACTTGCAGAGTCAGAGTAATGCTATGTTGACCCAAACAGGTTGCTTATTAGATGATCCCATAGATGTTCCAACAGATGGTATGGAAGAACAACTACAAAATATTCAACGAATCCCTCCACCATATCCAATGCCTCCACAGTATCCAAATAATACTACGAACGTCATTAATGATCCTTTTGATACGACTCATATTACACCTGTTGAAAATCTCTATGCAAACTCATCGGTCCCATTTACGATGGTTGAGCCAATTTATAACAATAATCCTAATCAATATGCCATAACAGGAGCATTGACAACTGTAACAAATACAATGTCATCATCATCACATGATCCATTAAATGAATTATTGAGTGCAAGTCTAGCATCTCTTTCCATAGCTTCAACATGTAACCAAAATGAGAACATAAATGGCCAACCAGTGACACCAAAACGAGTTGAAAAGCAAATGCTCTCAGAACAATTGCAAGGCGCCAAAGAAAATACACAAGTTAGAGTTAATTTAGAGCAAGTGATGAATATGCAAGTGCCAATGACAACAAGAAATTACGACTTTACACCCTATTCACAAATGTCAGTACTGCAAACAAACCAAAATGTCTCAAATGGCAATTACTCCAACAGCTATGTCAGTCAAACAATGAACGATGATAGAAGTGTAATCTATGACTCAAACATTTACAATTCCGTTGCGGGCGATTCGGTTTATAGTGAAAATTTTTATGATGCAGTGCAATCTCAAACTCCGTCAGCTATTTATGACACGACTGCTTCAATCTATGGAACAAATATTAACCAACAACAAGCAATTTATGATGAAGTTGCTGCATATGAAGAAATCGGAGCCTGGCGACCCCAAACTGCTGTTTTACGACCAGCTCCAGCTCCACCAACTTCATCATCACCAATGTTATCGCAACAGCAGATAAACAGAAGACTTGAGAAAATAAATCAACAATATGGTCGCGTTGCTGAACTAATGAATAAGCTTAGCATGGATAATATGACTGAAGATGAAGCAACGGAAGCATTAGAGTCCACAAATTGGAACCAAGATCTCGCAACGAGGCATTTTAAAATTGAACGACTGTCCAAGTAAGAAGATTCTATTCTCTGGTTGTAGTAAAAATAAATAATACTTACCCTTAGTTTTTGATTCCACCATTTTGATGCTTTTTTTAGTAACATTTGTCATTACTTTTTCTACTTCTTTTATACTGAATTTTCTCACAAATATATACACTCTTTTACTTATTTTTTTCTGTTAACGTCTACAGACTAGGCGTAGCATCACGTGAAAAATGTGAAGAGACGTTAATAAAAACTGGATGGAGCTTGCAAGTGGCTGCGAGTGTTTTGCTTGAATCTTAAAATTAATTATTCAACGTGGCATCAGCGACAGAAGCAGCAGTATCACTATAAACAATGAACATTCTCAACATTCTCTTATTCTTCTCAACGTGGTTGTTGTCGTGAAACCGCATATAAAATTACAACTTGACAAATTTATTTTATTTTATAAGCATGAAGGAATCATCACGTAACTTTAATTGAAAAAGTGAATCTGAAAGCAAAAGAATATATATTTTTTAATTTAAATGTTCTAATCATGAATTAATATTTTATGCCAAAAAGTAAAAACAAAAATAACTGGTTTTGAGTGAGTCAAGGTAGGTTTAAAAATACTTGGAGTAAAAAGTGTATCAAACGACTCAATTATTGTCTATCAAGTAGAACATAGAATCACGTTCAATCTTGCTTACTAATTAAAAAATTACAATTTATTGCCAATGACTAAATCTATTAAACAATCGATTATTTAATAAGTTAATCGAATTAAAAAAAGACTCGATACTAAGCTCAAAGTGAATTATTTAAACAAATTCCGTAATACATACATCATACTCTTTGTTTATTGAATCTTATATGCGCACCTGTTTAATCCTCAACAAAATAGATTTTTAAAATTTTAGATTCATTCATCTACGACATCAAGTGTGAGATTTGTAATGAAAATAATGTAATGAACGCTTTCTGTAATGAAAATTCGATCAACTTAAGAATCTACCCATTGTAATCTAATTAAATTGATTTTATTATAATTTATGCTAACAATCACATACCTAGATAATATCCAATGAGAATTTTTACTAACAATGACAATGAAAAGAGAAGTGTCATGTACACAAAATGCACGAAAAAACTACTTCGCAAAGTAAATTTGTATTTTCAACAAAATGAAGCCTATAAATCGGTCTAAATGCAAAAAAAAAAAATGAGGATAACTTTTTTTCCATATAAAATGACCATTTCATGGTGCTAAATGCTAATGTAGATTAGACGAATGAGGATAACGACGGAGAAAAAGAGATGGAAAATTCATATAAACTTTTTCATGTTCTCCACATGCCGAATATTGGGCGAACTATGGAATTTTATGAGAAAGTCTTGCCTTCTTTTAAAAAAGAGTAAAAATGAAATAAAATGCAAACGAGAAACACACAGGATGTGCGATAACAAGATGAAAAAAAAAATAAATATTTTTTATGTGAGAATGAAAAGAAAAGTAGATACGAAAAATGTATAAATTGTAGTGTGTCTGTGTAGATTATTAGCGCATTTTTTTGCAACAAAAAGAAGTAGATTTTGTAACCTTATAGTTGTGCTAGTTTTGACGATAGCAATGACTCTCAGTAGAAAAAAGTCAAAAGATTCATATTTTTCAAAATGTAAACTGCAACGATGCACTTAATTAATGATGAGTAGGAACGACGAAAGAAGAAATTAATATGAAAATGCGCTATTGGAACTCACTATAAAATTGAGTCAATTGTTTATTTCATATTTTTTGCATGAAAAAAGCATTGATTTTCCTCTCCTATTTTTTATACGTGTACTCATTTATGCTTCTACCCGTTGACAAGCATCCCGAGCACTAGAATACTAAAGAGATTGTGAGACATAAAAATGAATGAATAAAATGAAAGGAAGAGATTGTCGAAGGAACGAGAGGATTTTCTTCATCTAAGCACTGCTGCTTTATAGTTTTTATCTTTCTATTTTTCTTACAGATATTTAAGGATTCCAAAATTGAAATTTATTTCGTAAGTAGACGATAAAATTTTCATCTTAGTCTTTCTAGTGAAAACTCTAGAATTTTTTATATAAAATTTTTAATTGTATAAGAATTGACTAAACTAACATTTTAAGAGTCTCGTTCCTTTTGCACTTACAAGTATTATAGAGGACGTGTTGCTGTACAGAAATTATTTTTGCTCAAAATTGCCTTGTTTTGTAAAATAAATATTCAAGCAATAAAAGCAATTTGTTGGAACATAAAAGCAATAAAGCAAGTATGAGAGTCTCAGCATAACAAGTCAACATAGTGAATGTGCTTGCTACAAAATACAATGAAAGCTCTTAATTACTGTTTATTAAAACCATTGAGAAGAATGTACAAACAAGTTTTAGTAGATTATTTTTTTCTTTTTAATTCTTTTAATAAAAACAGCAGTCGTTTTAGTGTAAAAATTAAATGTGTCTCATACCTTCACGTTTTCTTGTAGAGTTCTGAACTTAAAGCTTAACTGTGTTTTACATTTTTCGAGCGTAGTTTGTAACAGTATATATTCATTAAGATAAGCTTTTGATGAAACTTTAAGAACAAGAATTTTTCATTTAGTTGAAAAGTTCAATATTGCAATCTTCCCATGTCTAATCCTACACAACACGAGCTCGCTCTTGCCAAATTTCTTTTGCTGATTATGAATTTTTTCTCATATATTTTTTCGTTTGATTTTTAATGATGTAAATGTAAAATATATTTACTTCGACGTTAGACTTCGGGGCTTAAACGAGAAACTCTCTCATTATTGTTGTTCGTCTGTATTGAAATTTTAGTTTTGGATTTAACATGCAAAAACTTTATGTTTTAAATCCTTTGTAAAATCGCAAGGGTTGAAGTTAAACGAAATGATTAAAAATTTCACCGATTTAAAGAATTTTCGACGAATTTAAAATTGGACGAAATTCGAAAAACTTTTGATCAACTTCAACCTTTTTAAAATGGTCTTTGACATTCTTGTGTATTTTCGGTGTAAAATTCTTAACGTTGTTACACATTAAAATAAACCTCAAATAATTAAAACAATTGTTTCATTAACCATCTCTCATCAAGTAACTTCTGATTTCATGGACATACAGCTTAATAATCAAAAACAGAAATCTTTTACTCATTGACAGCAAAAAGAATCGAATAAAAGACGAAATTTCATGTCATTGCAATGCAGATGAGATTTTATGCTCAATGAATGTAGTTATGTGCCATAATAAATTCAACCGTTGAGCTTGTTATCTATAATTTCGATTTCTCTCGTTTCACGTTGTAGAGCTTGTAGATTAACATTTTATTGCCAACAGACTGATTCTTCATATCGATATGGATTTTTTCCAACAACATAAGACAAAATTTTCTTTATTGGCTTTTCATCATTCAACACAATTTATGCTTTTTACATCACATGCAGTAGCTATTACTACATGATGAGAGAAGAAGGCTTTGATGAGTGAACATTGAATGTACTCAAGATATTTTTATATCAAAGTGATGGAATGGTAGAGAAATATTTACATGTCAACTGCTGTGTCTGACATTAAATTTTTATAAAAATTTCTTAAGTTTTCATTGTCAGATGCTTCCTGAATGTCGCAAACATATGTGAAATCAAAATTTATGAGTTTTTGATATGATAGATATTAACCTTAGTTTACATGTCAATAGTTATTATCAGTGGTTATATAACTGTATACTGGAACTGAATACAAATGAATTTCTCTACGAATTTATGGATTGAACCATTTTTCTTGAATCATATTTTTTTTTTGGATTCAAGTCAACTTTAATATTTTATTAAACTCAAACTTAATTTGGTTTCAGTTTTTAAATCAATTTGAAATTTTTTTCGTTAACAGGAACAAAGCATAGAATTAGTTTTTTTTGTTTCGTCCAAATTTACATACTGTCTCTTAAGTTTACTTCTTATATACAACTCTTATATATGTCCTACTTGTTTGATAAACATTTTTTACTAACTAGATTGCCATTATTATCATTCAAATTGAGGGTTCTTTTATTCGAGCAAATGGCTCGCACCCTTTGGAAAAAAAAATCTTATTAGCTCAACTAAATAGAATGGATATGTACGAGGATAAGTAAAAAGGTAAATGTAAGGAAAAGTGAATATTTGGAAAATATTCGAAACATATTATTATTTCACAGTTTTTGCGTCTGAAAATTCCAAACTCCTTTTAAAAAGATTGAACATTTTTCTTCGCTTTCTAACAATTAAGAGAATAGCATCACAAGAAAATAATATTTTTTAATATGAAATATCAAACTTGTTGAATACAGCAAAATGTGGATCAATGAAAAATTGAACTTTCGAGGGCTAAAGCGTTTATACTTTTAGAGGATTTCAAAGACTCTTTGTCAGCTATAAATATCTTAAAAAATTTAATTTGCCAACATAATATGTACTTTTTCTGTCAATCCTCAACAAGTAAATTCCCAAAAAGGACCAACATAAAATGTTGAAAAAGAGAGACGTGCAAATATAAGGAAGCATAAGTACAGAGAAAAAGGAATCTCATCAGATAGAAATAGAAAATTCAAACATGTTGACGAGCTCGTGTACGGAAATTCAGTGAATTGAATCCAAATTTGTGCAAATAAAAAGAAGCGAGGGTTGTAATCAGGTGTAAAAATCAGAATTGTTCTGACAACTTTTATTGCTTAAATATGCAATAAACTATTGAAGTGAGAGAAAAGGAAGAAAAGGGAAAGTATTAGTATAATGAAGATTGTTCTAGTTGCTGCTTCACCAATTTTAATGGCTTTTAATTTGCATATCCTAATTTAAAGTAATAAATCTTTATTTTTCTTGTTTTTGTTCAACTACCTAGATTTTGTAAGATATGAATCTCATCATTTTATTTTCCAAACTATATTGTATGGATCCAAAGATGTTCTAATTAAATTCATAGTAAAATAATATTGCTGAATCTCTTAAATTTACGCATATCAATCTGTTCCTTTTCTCAGGGTTATTTTCATATGACCTTACACATATAGTGCTCGAAGCATTAATACTATACTGCAACAGATGTCAATATTTTTCAAGTAGAAAGTTTTACAAATCTTCTCAGTGTCTCTGAACGGCTCTGAACTTGAAGTAAACTTTAAGCACAAAAACTATTTTTGGACAAAAAATAAACATACAACAACTTTCATCCAATTTTCCACCCCAAATAAATGCCAAGAATTTAGGTCAACATCCAAAATAAATCAACTTTTATAGCAGATTGTGGAGTAAACAGCATATCGTTCTGTGCATATACATGAAATAAAATAAAGAAATAAATATTGAAGCACATACGAGATAAATTGAAGTGAAAAAATAAGAAAAAAAACTTGTAAGAGAATTCTTGAATTGAAATCTCCACTTGGATCCTCCCTTCTTCCTTAATTCGAGAATTGAGAGAAGAGAAAATTAAATTATTTAAGCATTTAGTTGTTTCTCACGAACTTTTATGCTGTGCTTAAAGTGAATATACATACTCATGATGGTGATGAATATTATACGATGATAATTTTGTGAATTTGCATAATAAAATGTTAATAAGACTTTTCTTTACACAAAGGCAATGGTGAAGACAAACAGCATGTGAAAGTATGAACGTAGGAAGCGAATATACTGTCTTCAGTTATTTTTGTAGCCACAATTTTATTTTGTGAAATTCTGAATATTAAAATAATTTTGTTTAAATAAGCAAAATTAAAATAATTTTTGAGTGCATTCAAATCGCGTGCATTTAAAATGAATGAAATGAAAGAAAATCTGATTGACTTTTCGCTAAATATACCCTGAAAAAACTAGCTAATTCCGAAAACAAAGAAAAAAATACGAGAAAGTTCAAGTTACTTAAATGCAAATGAAGATAGCAACAAGAAAATGTTTTCTTTTGTCGTAATGCGTGGACACTGTTTGAAGTAAATTATCCTCTTGAGAAATAATGAATTTTGTGAGAGGAAAGATAACGCTTCATCACTTCTTCTTTTCTCCATTATGGAGAAATTTTTCATGATGGATGTCATAACAAGATTTTGTCAGCTTTTCCTCAGGAAATGAAATCGTTTGACCCCGTTTGACCATGAAAAATCAAGAACAAGTTAATCAATGAATGAGAAAATTCACATCTATTGTTGAAATTACTTTATTTTATAAATATCAAATCTAAAATACCCACTTTTCTGATAAGACTCTCTCATCGTTGATGCGATATTAAACAAATGTAGTTTTTTTAATGTTCTGCCTTATCACACAAAATAGAATACTCTCAGAGAAATTTTTAAAACAAGAACAAAGGCATTTTTTTCATACTCAACATTATAAGAGCTACTTAGCAACATAACTGTAGTATAATGCACACATATCTCATTTATGAAGGCTGAAATATAACATCTTTTCTACTTTTTATATTGCTCTCCAGAAGTTAAAACACAGAGATTTATGACAGTAAGATTTTTTTGTAAATGACGCTTTTTAAAGTATTTTGAAGATTTTAAATTTTATAGAATTGTAGAATTTTTTATTTACTCTAGGGTTTTTAAAAAGATGCTGTGTGATAAGTCCAGACGTCATTTTCAATCATAAGATCATAAATTCAAAGTCACGGGAGGCTTATTAATCCAGTTAAAAATTGTATCTGGAATTAAAAACATTAAGTGCCGTTCATAGCTTATACATTAAAAATGTCAAAATTGTATGAAAACAGCAGTTGCTTTAAAAATGTAGCTAAAATTATGCAAAAAAGCAGAGCATAATAAGTGTAAGAGAGAAATATTTTCTCTGTGTTCTTACGTATGGCTTACAAAACGATTTTCATGCTTAAAATTGCCATCATGGGAGAGCTTTATGACTCGATTTAAGAATCTACACACTCACATACAGTAAAAGAAAAACAGAAAAAAATATTCTCGTTAT